GGACTACAACTGAAAGGAGAGGTGCAAAGGGCCCTGTAAAGGTCTTGAAGACCCAGATGTGGACTGATTTGATAAAGTTCAGAGTAGTGAAAGAAAAACTTGATGGGCAGCCCAATAGGATCTTGTTAGAACTGTGGCACCAATTAAAGCCAGAGCAGCAGTTCCAGCTGCTGAGGTCCAGGACATGGAAGCTGGAGGCAAAGCCCCATGTCCATCCTGTGTCCCTGCAAGACGTCCTGGGGCACAGTACTCAGGCTCCACCTGGCCTTCACCCCTTCAAGAGGATGACTGGACATCATGGTTTGACTGAGGGGACGGCCAAGGTCCCCACCTTAGGGGATGTGGTAGGAACCAGATGTCACATGTAGAATTAGCAATTCATTGGTCCCCTCAAATGTACAAAGTGTCCTGGCACTGGCAGACACAGGAGCTGAATATTCTATGATTTATGGCAACCCTGAGTGTTTTCCTGGGCCTCCTGCTATGATAGATGGCTATGGGGGTAAAGCAATTAGAGGGAATAAAGCCCAAATCCCATTGGGGATAGGGCATTTACCCCCAAAGGAGTATACTGTGTACATTTCTCCCATCCCTGAATATATTTTGGGGGTCTATATCCTGCAGGGCCTGGGGTTACAGACCAGTGCAGGTGAGTTCAGACTGAAGGTACATGTGATACAGGCTGTTCTGAGGGGACATGCTCAGCACCTGCCTTTAGCTCTGCCTGTTCCTCTGCAGATGACAAATACTGAGCAGCATAAATTGCTTGGGGGGCACAAAGAAATTGGAGAAACTCTTCAGGAATTGGAGAAGGTGGGCATCATAAAGTCCACTCACAGTTCTTTTAATTCCCTGGTGTAGTCAGTGAAAAAGCCAGATGGCTCCTGGTGTATGACCATGGACTATGGGGAACTGAATAAAATCACACACCCTTTGTGTGCTGCTGTCCCCTCTATAGCACCCTTATGGACACACTCAGTCATGAGGTAGGGATAACTAAAGTTATCCCAGAAGCAGTCATAGACAAAGTGGAGGATTTCCCCACGCCTACAAGTGGGACAGTATTATAAAAGTTTTTGGGTCTTTTGGGCTACTAGAGAGCGTTTATCCAGCACTTGGCACAAATTCTGAAGCCCTTATACTGGTTGGTATGAAAGGGCATTAGGTGGGACTGGCATGAGACCTGTGCAGCTGCTTTTGCTGCTGCTGCTAGTAAGGAGTCATGGTCATACAGGCCTTAAGTGTAATGGACTCATTAAGGCCTTATGAGCTAGATGTTCATGTAACCAAAGATGGTTATGGATGGGTCTTTGGCAGTGGCTTGAATGGATGCACCAACATATTGGATTCTGGTCTCAATTATGGAAAGGAACAGAGGTCCGGTACACCTTGACAGAGAGGCAACTGGCTACTGTGTACCACACCTTGCTGGCTACGGAGCGCATCACCAGAACAGCTCTAAGGAAGGTAATAACCATCTGTCCCATTGCAGGTTAGGTGAGACTGGACCCAAAAGCCATAGAGTGACATGGCACAGATGCCTACACTGGCTAAATGCAGTGCATATTTACAGCAGCACAGCGCCCTCTCTACTAGCCCCCTAAGTGAAGAACTCCAACACTTATTGGGGCCAGTGACCTATACCAGTGGAAAGCAGGAAGAACTTGCTTTTGAGCCATTGATAGCTGAGAGTCCTTATCAGGAGGGAAAAACCCCCATACCTGAAGATGCCTGGGACACAGATGGCTCCAGTTGTGAGCAGCCCCCAAAGTGGAGGGCTGTGGCTTTCCATCCTAAGAGTGAGACAACATGGATGGAGGATGCAGAGGGGAAGAGCAGTCAGTGGGGTGAGTTGTGGGCAGTATGGCTCGTAATCATCCAGGATCCCTCCCCTATAGTTGTCTGCACTGACAGCTGGGTCGTCTATGGGGGCTTATCCCTGTGGCTATCGACATGGTACCATGCCAACTGGATGGTTGGTCACTAGCCCCTTTGGGGGCAAAAGCTGTGGCAAGACCTATGGGCCTCTGGTCAGACTAAGACAGTTATCATGTAGTATGTGACTGGCCATTTGCCTTTGGCATCCCCAGGGAATGATGCAGACATATTGGCCTAGGTGCGCTGGCTAGAAAGAAAGCCTGCCTCTGATGTAGCCCAATGGTTATATCAGTATTTGTTGCATGCAGGTGAAAGATAATGTGGGCTGTAGCCTGTCAGTGGGGCTTGCTGTTGACCTTTGAAGAAGTCAGCAGATCCCTGAAGGAGTGCCTTGTGTGCTCTAAGAGGGAATTATACCAAGTCATGCAGCAACATGGGACAATAGTCCAGGGCTGATACTCCTTATCAGGTGGCAGATAGACTATACTGGGCCTCTGTTCATATCAGAAGCATATCAGTATGCCATGATTAGTGTGGAAATGGCTCCTGGACATTTTCTGAACATATTGCAGATCAGCAAACTACCAAGAGGGGCCTAGAGTATCTCTTTGCAGCCTACAGCTGCCTGGATGCACGTGATTGAGAGTGATCAAGGCACCCACTTTACTGGACATGCATTGCAAGGATGAGTGCAGCAATTAGGAATAAAGTGGAAATTTCATATACCATATAACCCTACTGGGGCAGGCATGGTAGAGAGGTACAATGGTTTTTTGAAATCTGGCCTTAAGTTAGACACCAATAGTCTATGGGGCTGTTCAGTTCACTTATGGACTGTACTATGGCATTTGAATGAGAAGCCCCAAAAAGGACCATTGAGCCCTGTGGAAATGCTAACACACATTGCTGCCTATCCTACACAACTGTATGCACAAACCAAAGAGGAATTATTGAAGCCAGGATATGGCCAGCAGAGCAACATCCTGCTGCCAACCCCAACTGCATTAAACCCTGGAGACACTGTTGAGTGGACCTGGTCCTGGACATTTTGACACATGGACAAGTGATGGCTGGCCCTTCTGACACCTTGGAGTAAAGACCTGGAAGCTGGCCTGTGTGTTCCTGGAGTAACAGCAGAGTGGCCCCCAATGATCATGGTAGTGTATCCAAAACATCTGGGAGGTAAGAGCATCTTATGTGGAAGTTTTTTTTTTTATCTTTATGGCCAGTGCATGTACCTCCCATAGTCCTATATATTGACCCATATGCAACTCCCACAGGGCAGGGGGGTAAAAGTCTGGTATATTAGACCAGGACTAGATCCATTCCTGCCACTGTCTTATCACAGGACCACTCCCTTGCATGCATCCTACCTGATGGACAAGATGTGCTTATGCTGATGTCATTAAAACATGTATCTTATTGCCTTTAAGGTAATTTTCTTCTATAGTCCCTTTGGCCTGTACTCACCCCCTGGCCTCAGCTGCTGTGTGATGACTGCTCTGAACTCTCTACCTATACAGCTACTGACTGTCTGTGGAATGGGTGAGCTATGGATTTAATCTGTATATGACTTTGAACCTAGTTGAATCCTCTGGCTTGAGGATTATCATTTTATTGCTGTTGTTATTGTATTTTATTAGTCTGGTTATAATGCTCTAGTTTTCTTGCACAGGGGCCATTGTGGAAGATGGGGATTGAGTTGATTGTGAGGCAAGATTTCTGGAGGGATGGGCTATAGGTAAAATTGCAATGTTTCCAGAATCTCTAGCCTGGTCTTAGTGCATCTCCATATCAATAGGTGTTTCCAAGGGGTGGAGAGAAGTAGTCCATCTTCATGTCAATAGGTGATTACAAGGGAGCAGGGCATATCTGGAGTGGAGGTGGGGTGGGGTCCCTTTTTGCAGCCAGGTCTAAGAGACATGCAGAAGCATAGGTGGACGACTGCTTGTAAGCAATAAATGGATTTCTTTCACTTTATTTCTCCCTTTGACTGATTTTGGTTGCAAAGGTAATTTTCCCCAGGCTGGGAAAGTATATTTCCCCCAAAGTTACAAGGCGTCTCAGAAAATGCCCAGTGAGAAGTGCTGACTGCTCCATGGGAGACTGATACACACCTCCTCTGTGTCTTCCAGAAAATCTTTTGGAAAGTTGGTACTGCTTTCTTTTCCAAATGGGATATTTCAGAGAAACCACATAGGCCAGGACTGGAGGATGAGGGCACAGTGGTCATCCAAGGAAAACTCTCTGTGCCCTCTGTGTGGCGTGAAGCCTTTGCTTAAATTACAGCCATCTGTGTGCTTTTTCATTGCCTTTTGGTTTTGGTGCAGGCTCTTTTCAAGCAGGGACTATCATCTCTTCATCTTCCAGTGAGGGTGGAAATGACATGAACTTTTAACTCTTACAGACCTATATTCAAAACTCCTCTCTGACACTTACCTGCTAAGTAATCTTGGCAGGTTGTTTAATCTTTCTGGATCTTAATTTTTTACTGTAAAGAGGACAATAATACCTACCTCACAGGAGACTTATGTAAAATGCCTAGCAGGGATTGTAACCTAGAAGCCTATAGCCCAGAAGTGTGTTATGTGTAGCTCTGTAAATTTTTTAAAAGTTTATTTTTAACAATGCTAAAATAAGTAAGTTTCACCTAAAAATTTGAACATCTGGCTTTTTCTTGGAAAAATGAAAAATCTGGCTATAGTGGGCCTCATTCTGAAATGGCAAAGTGGGCTAGGAAGGAATAGTAGATACCTCTTTATGAAGGGGAGTGATTTCCACTTGGCCACAGTCCAACCCTTCCCTATTGCCTTACACTCAATTCACGTCATGACATGTCTTGATTGGCCATTTAGACCTCTGCATTTGGAACCCTGGCCCAGCATAGAAAATAATCTAAATACTGGTTCACTTCTTTCTTGATTTCATATATTTGCTGACTGACTGCATTGTTTCACTTCCTATTTTAGAAAGAAACAAAAACAAAAAACCTTCCTGAGGTATGCATTTATACAATGTTTGCAAACATTGTGTGAATTTCCTTCCTATCCATAGCATATTACCAACATGGGTACTTAGTGAACAGTCTTACTAGAAGAAAATGTAACAGCAAGCAGGCTTACCATGTGGGAGACTGCTAAAGAAGCATGCTGCCAGGTGTCCATTACCAACTTCTCATCTGCCTCAAAGTTTAACTCTACGTTTTCCAGCGAGTGATCCACTTTGCCCTTCAGTGTGGCATTTATTTTTGGTTTGGATAGAGCTGAATCTGGAGAAATGGATATTCGAGGAACTAGAGGAATTCTTTGGAATACAAACAAAAAAAGTACAAAAAATTTTATTTACCAGAATTCTATTTTCATAACCATGCTTCTTTGTGAATTTTGTTGTCTTGCTTTAAATATCAATTTTCAAAGTTTTCCTGAAGAACTGTTTACATGAAGGAAAGACTAAAAAGACTACATTCAATTTTTTGTAGTCTTTTTAACAAAAGGGAACTGGAAACAAACAATAACAAAACCTAATTTTCAGGTTTAATTCTCAGGAACTGTGAAGAGGGGGAGTCAACAATGGCATTTGAAGAAATGTAATTTTGAAATTGATTAGTATCATTTGGCTTTCTGAAGTGGACAGTGGAAGCAGGGTATGACTGATGTGAAGTCTAAAAGAGAGTACCCCGAGGAAGCAGAAAGATTTTGGTGGGTGGGTGGGGAAGAGATCCATCAGCCCTCCCCTCCTGGTCTAGAACATGGGTGATGACAGCTTTCTCTTTGTTCGGTAAAGTGCCTTGGAAACAGAGCCAACCCTGTGGCTGGCCCTAATTGTTTCTGGGAACATTCTATCCCAAAAGGATTCCAATCTCAAAGGCTAACAAAGGCAGGGAGGGAGCCGCAGGGCAGAATGCTTATTACAACTGGGATCTGCCTCAGTGATAGAAAGTTCCAAGAGCTCTCTCGGGTAAGGAAATGGGGATAGAGAAGCTCCAAGGATGCCTTTGCTAAAACTTGAGGAGGACAGTCAGGAGCAATATGAATAAACATTAGGTTTGGCAGACTCAGAGTGGTGATTCAGAAAGCTGGTTGTGAACTCCAGCTATTAGCTTGGTCTTGTTTTGAATCATTAGGTGAAGTTTCTTGAACTCAGCTCTTGGAGTCTTACAGTGCTTGGAATTCTGACAGTATACCATGCCTATAAAGGCAATGTGTTGAGGATCTACTATGCACTATATGTTTACACACAAGGACAATTTACATTACTAATGAAGTGTGCTAAATCTCAGTTGCTGAGACACATGAGATTCATTTGTGCTATAAGCTAAAGGTTGTGTCTCATCTCTAGATGTTTAATATAATAAGACATGCATTTCCCAAGGCTTGCTTTAGAGGATAGAGGTAGTGGCATATCATTTAGAAAAAGAATTTGGGTTTAGAATTCATTTACTAGAAAAACCTCTGGTTTAGCTAGCTCTGCCACTATCAGTAGATATCAATTGGGGCATGTCACTTGACTTTCCCAGGCTCTGTCCCTCCTGGAACAATATAAATATAATAGTAATTATTAGGAATTACTAATTGTTAACTAATTATTAGTTACTATTATTTTTATGCTGTCATTATGGGGGAATAAAATAGACTAGCTATGTGAAAATGCTAGACACCATGCCTCAGTGTTAAAGACAGTGTGGCCGACTGCTTGGTTGGTAGACACACTGAGTGACTGAGGCTTCCAGTAGACACCCAGAGCAGGGGCTTGCGGTGGAGGTGAGTGTAGTTTTGCAGAAAATAAGAACTGCCTGTTCTTTGTTTCATGCTACTACCTGACATTAATAGCTTCCCCATTATGCCTGACTTGCTATTTTGTGCTAAGAACAGAATGCACTGCTACTATGAACATTGAAACTTGGCCTCTTTTCCTGGTTCTGAGGGTTCGTATTGCCTTTGGAATTTCATTGTTTTTAATTTAAAAGTTCTCTTTCAGCAGCTTGCTGACTTAAACATTTGTCTTGTATTTCTATCAAGAAGAGGGCACAAACTTTCCTTCTGTTGTTTTCTTGCTCACACATGGGCCTAATAGGGAAAATGCCACTAGACGGAAGAAGTCTACAGAGAAGAAATGGGCCTCAGATCACTGTATAACCCTCTTGTTGAGATGATTTTAAATCCTTTTTGGAATAAAGGAGAGTAAAACAAACAAAACAAGAACATGCAATACTCACAATTAAAATAGTACATGTAAGTAAAATAGTTTATTGTATCATAAAACAACAATAATAGTTACCACTTATTGAAAGTTACTGGGTCTAGATATCAAGTTTTCTGATTCCTAGACAAGGTACAATGTGCTTTGAGGATTTCCTTTTCTGCTATCTTCACAACAACCCTACTTTATAGATAAAGAACCAAAGGCTTAAGAGAGTTGGGGTGAATTTCCCAGACAAATAGTCTTAATTTACTTACCTACAGCTAGTAAATAGCAGACCCAGGACTAAAACTGGATTTGTTTGGCTTCAAAACATTCATTACCCCATATTGAGTTTGTGCAACTCCTACTACCTGAACTGACTGAGCAAGCTTGTAAAACAGAGTACATGATAGAGCCCAAACAGGAGGACCGCCATTTTGAATAAGCCCACCCACCATCTCAGAGACCTAGGTTTCATTTTACTTAGGTTACAAACATTTTCTGGAGGACACCTCAGCAAGCCACAAGACCACCTTTTCCCTGACTGTCCCCTCAAAAGCCTGCCAAAAATCCCAGCCATAAAAAGCCTCTAGCCTGTAAGAGATGCCTTCTTTGTTCTACTCACCAGAACAGAGGGGTCCCTCTCAGGTTTAGCAATAAATCTGCTTGGACTGTTCAGTTTGCATCCCTTTTTTTCCTTTTAGCACATACACTATTTTTAATGTATAATAATACATAGCCTATCTCCTTGGAGGTTTAAATTTAGTGTTCAGTGCCTGGATATTATTTTTTAAATCTAATTTCTTTTTTTTCCTCTTTATATGTACAGTTTCCCATTTTCTCATGACCCACTCATTGGTCATGAGAAAGTATTACTTTAATTCTTAATTCTATTTTATTAATTTTTTAAATTAATTTAATTTTAAGGAATTTGAGTTTTGTGCTTTATTACTTTAATTCTTACGTTTTGCTCTCTTTTAATGTTTTATAGTTGGGATCTATTTTGCAGGAATTACCACCAACTTCCACCCCCCCCCATTTCTTAATGAGATTTTTAGCTTTTTGGAGTTTGGCATCTTGTCCTTCCACTGCCCCCACCCATTGGGTTATAAAGGCAATCATTTATAAGCTTTTATATTGCACAGGAGCATCTGGTTGAAAATATAATTTTTCTTCTACCCTTGTCACCAAGATTATTTTCTTGCTGGCAGCAATCTAATGTTAGACTACTGATAAGACTTTCAGTCTCATGAAGTCATAATCACATAAGACTAAGTCCATTCTTTCTCAGTTTCCTTCCCTGTAAAAGAAGGCTCGTGACCCCTTTCCATTTCATTTGTATGTGACAAAGACACACACACATACACACACACAGAACTGCTTAGCACCTTTCTTAAAACTGGTAGTTTCATGATTCTCTACTGAAGACGTTTGGGGCCAAAAGTGTTATGAATTCAGAATTTATATATGTAACATATTCCCGAATATTCCCACAGAGACTGTAGGAGGCACTCTATAATAAAACACACTATGCCTCTACAGCAAAATGAGTTAATAATCACTCTAAATTGGACAAATAATGCATATCCATAGTTTTCAGTTGAAGTTAGGAAAAAAATTTCAGTTTCAGAACTTTTTTGGATTTTGGGTTTGCAGATAGAGGAGAAACTTTTTTTTTTAGGAGTATGTTTTTTATTAGTGGTATTCAATTTAAAATCATGAAACTTTATGCTCATAACAATTACAGGGTGACACGATAGCTTGTCTTACCTAAGTTGATTTTCCAAAATGTCTCTACCATTCAGTTGGACCAATGGGACTCGAGTAAATCTCTTACTGTCATCATCTGTTGGGATTTTGCATTCCATCCCCCCGTAGTAATCTTGAAGGAGTCTCTTTGTATCTTGGAAACGGTTTAGTTCTGCCTTTGATAGAAAATATAAATGTTAATACCCAATAAAGAAAAAGCTGATGTGTGTATATTTCCCATAGAAGCTCTGTAAGCACTACTTTAATGGAAATAAATAAAGAGAATTGGCTACAAGTACATATCTAAATTTTCATAAAAATTAAAGATAAGTGGTGACTGTGTTCTCTGTACTTACTGAATATGATTCCACTTAACTAGATAATTGCACTTAACATTTCTATGCCTCTTAATACGGTGACAAAAGATTACAGTATATATGATGTCTGGAGTATATTACTCATTATTTTAACATTAAAAATTTTTCCTGAACACTAGAATACATTAACAAACATTTGAATGTCTTCCATCATAAGAAACAGGTTAGTAAATATGGGAGATAGCAAAAGTATGATACATACAAATACAAAATAAAAATATAGATATACAAATACAAAAAACTGAAGTACAAAATAAGACTAGGTTTTGGTCCTCTAGGACTATTTCACCCAGTTGTGGAGAAATGACAAGTGGTAAGGCAAATTGATATGAACAGTTCTCTTTTTACATTACCATTTTTTCCCACTATGGACAGTAGGGAGATCACTTCTCCATGGTTGCAGCAAAACACCTCTGCTGACTTTGCTAGTACACGCCTTGGGGGAAATGGAGAAGCACGGAGGACTTGGTGGCAAGGCGAGCTTCAGTTACTCCCAAGTGACTCCTTGCCAGCTGCTCATTTCCCTTTGCAGTGATGGTGGGATGCATGCATAGTGAGACCCTCCATGGGGGCCAAAGGAACAAATGTAGACAATGAGTTTCCCAAACAATTGTCCCACTAGGTGTCAAATCAGGTGTATTTGTGCTTCTCTTTGGTAGTAGAACATGACCTCCAGAGTTTGCTTTGGTTTAGTGGGGTTACTTAAACCAGTACCTGAGGGCCTAAAGATTGAAGTTTATATGCAGATGTATTCTATGATATTTAGTTCATTATAGAACACATTTTCCAAAAAAGGGCAAAACTGACCTAGTGTTCAAAACCCTTAGCTGAGCCTAACGAAAGGGTATTTATGAAGGGATCCTTATATTTATCAAGCAATTAATGTTGCCGTTTATTTCATAAAACATCAAGAAATAGTCCTCTACTGTCATATTCACAGTTTAGAACAAGTAAATGCTTTTGCATTATAGTCTGTAATAAAAGACAAGGAAAGTTCCAATAAATTTGTTTTTGATACAGAAAAGTATAAGCCAAATTGCTCCTGATAAACTGTTTTTGGCATTATTAAACTTTTCTAGCTAAATGATTGAAACAGGAAGAAATTCATTTTGTTAATTTGAATCTATTATAAAATAATCATCCTACACTGTTTAATATTATAGAACATACCTTAAATACTCTACTTGGATTTTAAAAATAAATATATATTTAACTGACTTTTAAAACCAGCATTTCAAAGTGATTAGGAAAACTAAACATTTTTCTCTTTCCTTACAGAGCAACCAAATTTAGTTTAAAAATATTCATACATAGACTAATCTCACAGTTTGACAATAAGTATTTGCATTTGTCATGCTTAGATTTGGTAAACCAGTAATAAAAAAATGAATCTTGTAAATTATACTCATGAGAACCTGCATAATACCACATTTACAAATGAGTAGCATGTAAATGTAAACCCAATTTGTACAAATCAGATACTGACAAATAACTTTGGGAGTTGAAGAGTACTGTTGTAAGGTTATAAAAAACCATTAATCTAATATTTAAAAAAGAGAAATAACAAATATTGGTGAGGATGTGGAGAGAAGGGAACCCCTGTATACTGTTGGTGAGAATGTAAATTGCAATCATTATGGAAGCAGTATGAAGGTTTCTCAAAAAACTAAAAATAGAAATATCATATGACCCAGGAATTCCACTCTTAGGAATTTACCTGAAGAAAACAAAATTGCTAACTTGAAAATATTTATGCACCCCTATGTTTATCACATTATTTGCAATAGCCAAGATATGGAAGCAACCTAAGTGTTCATGAGTAGATGAATGTATAAAGAATATGTGGTACATATTCACAATGGAATATTATTCAGCCATAAAAATAAATAAAATCTCACTATTTGCAACAACATGGACAGACCCAAAGAGTACTGTACTATGTGAAATAAGTGAGACAGAGAAAAACAACCATCATATGATTTCACTTATATGTGGGATCTAAAAACAAAACAAATGAACAAACAAAACAAAACAAAAATGGGCTCATAAACATGGAGAACAGACTGGTTGTTGCCATAGGAGAAAGAGGTGGGGGATGGGTGAAATAGTGAAAGGGGAAAAATAATTAGTCATTAAAGCATAGCATTACATTATTTGGTAAATAAGTTTAAAAATCAGTATATTTGGATGAAAAAATGCCATCATCACTGTTGGCCTCAGTTTCCTCATCTATGAAATGAGCATTATATAGAATTTATAGCATAGGGTTGTTGTGAGATTTTAATGTATCCTACATGAAAGTCCTTGTACTCCTTGTACAGACTAAGAACTTAACAAACATTAGCTTTTATTTGCTTCCCTTTCCTTTATCTTCTTGTTTCCAAGTTGGTTCTGGATGTGCATTCAGTTTCTCAGGATGAGAGCCTTAAATCTAGGTATTGCTGAGATGTATGAGTTACCATCTCTAGAAGAGGCATGTATTGCTCAGACTAATGAGAATGATTCACAAAATTCTCTCTTCCTCTTGCCTTCGCTATTGGGTTTCAGTTTTCTGCCATAAGCTTTTGACATACCTGTTCAATATTTAGTCTCTGCTTGCCCAAATGGGTGTCCAGGGATGCTGCCTAGACTGGCTGAGGCTGACAGGGAGTCTCACGCTCATCCTTCACAGCCCCACGCCTTGTACTTCCCATGTGGATCCCAGTGCTAGCTGTCAGCGAGGCTGCTCTTGCCTCTCAGGTGTCTGGTGACTTTTCAGGCCTCCTATTGTCCAACCTGTTCCCCTGCACCATTGACTTGTCGCTTTCTAGCAGTCACGGTCATTTGTTGAACAGCATTTAACACCCACTGTGTGCTAGCACTGGGGATTGTCAGGTAAATATTCTCCTTTCTTGCATTATCCCTCAAGCACATTAATTACTTAAAGACTAAAAATGTACCCTTTTCCATTCTTTATCCTCACGGTTATTCTCTTCGGAAAAAATACTCAGGTAGACATGACTTGACCAAGACAGCCTTAATATTCCTCTCAGCTTGACTAAACTTTAGTCTTCTTTCTAACTCTAGGCTCCTTACCTCCCTTTTCTTAGAATATTTACTTTAGAAAACTTTTCATTGTAAATCCTTTCTCTTTCCCTTTGAGGTGTAAATCTTTTAAAAAGGTTTTTGCCAGTTTAGAACTGTCTTTCTTAAGGCCCTGGGCATCATCTCTTTGAAACACAATTTGTAAGGAAGATATCACCCTTCACCAGTTCCTCTGCGAGGGAAGGAGCTGAACTTGCTCCTCGGAGGGTGCCTTGCTTCAAATGGTAAAACTGACTCCTGTCATGAAGAGCAGAGATGTACTCTTCCTTTAGGCAAGGCTAGTTAGCAAACAGGGAAGGCCTCTGACCCCACCCTACCCCAGCTCTTAAAATCTCTCTAGCTCTTTTTCTTGGCAGAGCTGGATATTGAGACATGGTCTGTGCTCTCTCCCCTATTGACATCAGTCTGAGAATAAGATCAATGTCTGTCTTATCTTGTTCAGTGCAATATTTTATTTTGATAAATATAAGTCAGTCAAGCTGCAAATATAAGTTAATCAGGCTGTTCTGATGAACAGTCTGTTTTTCTAATCCAATGGTCAGTTTTTTCTAGAATCAAATGCCTGCTAAGTTTGATTAGCATCTAGCCCATGCTTTGTGTCAAGGTCGCTTTCTTGGGGCTTCTGCTGGCCACTCTGGGTGTCTGCTATGAGAGGCTGCTGAAACAACGTGCAGGATAGATTTCATCTCTGCTGTCCTCTGTGTGGTTCTAGGCCGCCTGGAAGCTGGTTGCGTGGGATGCTTCCAGTTCTGGTGCTTGTTTAGCCCAGGCCAGAATGATTTATTTCAGCTAACTTCCTCAGCAAGTTGGAGCTCAGGCCAAGTGCTGTGACTAATATGAGCCCCGAAAAGACCCCTCGCATTCCCAAAGGAATTGTTACATGAGGGATGGGTCTGTGGAAGGCCACTCTTACCTGCATCAGTGAGAAGAAATGGTTCATCGTTATCCCAATCAAGTCCTGAAACCAGCTCTCGCTGATGATATCCAGACGCTCTTGCTCTGCCTCTTCCTTCCGGGCATCACAAATGTCCCACAGGCGGTCTCGTAAATCCTGAACCCAAAGAAACATCACTGTCACGTGAAGCTTTAGAATCATAGCTCAAATTACTGGGTGTAATAAAACTAAAATCCCTTCTCTGCCTTAAAAATGTGCCTGAAGAAAATTTAAAAATTTTAGAGCACTCATATATTTTATTCCTTCATTCAACCAATAATTAGCTAGCTTTTACTGTCAGGCCCTCACTTTCTAAGACTAGCCTAACAAATTATATGCCCCTATCTACCACAGATCCACTACAGTTCACTTTGTTTTATGCATTCAAATCCTGCCTCAGAAAATTTCTGTGGTTGACACATCCTTTCAGGGAATTTCTGGGGAAATGGGGTGTTGTTGGTGGAAGAAGTAAGCAGTTGTATTTAATCCAAGGGAATAAGCTTGTTAATTAATCATGAGTAGTCATTCATAAAGCAATGCACAAAAGGAATGTTGTCTGAGCTTAATGGGACTGTCCACAAATAAGCTTTGTACTGAAGAATTAGCAGTGGAAAATCTTTTGAAGATCCCAGTTCTGCCACTTACAATAATAATGATAATTATATATGTATGAATATTATATATTATATGTATTATACATTCATATGTATGAATGTGCAATGATAATTATACATATGAAAAGTATGTATAACAATAGTTACCATGTATGGAGGCCTTTCTATGTGTGACAGTGTGTCAGAATATAAGTAACTATACTTACATTACTTATTTAATGCCTTACAACAACCTCAGGTACTATTATTATCTTCATTTTGCAGAGAAGGATACTGAGTCATAGAGGTTATTTTTCCAGTCACATGATGAGTAAGTGGTGGAGCCAGAATAGAGCCTGTGGTCTTGGGTAATATGCAACACTATATTAGGTCTCAGTTACTCTATCTGTAAAATGGGGATATTACTTTACCTTTTGGATGTGCCATATAGAATAAATTCGTTTATGTATAAAAAAAGCACACTATTTGGCACACAATATTTCTTCAATTAATGAAAACTATTATAATCTTATCAAAATAAGAATATGATGTTATTCACAGCAATAATACCTGTTTAATAAAATATTCCATTAATGAAATATATATAGTCCAAGAAAACTTTACAGTTTTCACAATAATAATCATTTTTTGAACGTTTACTATGTGTTGGGCATTGTGTTAAGTGCTTTGCATTGATTACCTCACTAATCCCCACAATAACCAAGAGGTAAGTTTCTGATGAGAAAATTGATTCCCAGAGAGGTTAATTTACTTGCTTACGGTTTCAATGTGGGAGATCCAGGAATTTGAAAGCAAGCAAGCTGATTCCAGGGCCAACAGTGGTTTTATTTCTGTGATGTTGTGTTTATGGAACGCATTTTGGTTTGTTACCTTGTGGGGGCTGCACATGCAATGAAAATATCACAGGCATTTTTATAGCCACATGCCAAGCATCAGAACAATACACCATTGTTTTAAAGGTGGTCTTGGTATGTACCTCCATGATCTTTCTACAAATGTTCTGTCAGACATTCATTGAGGACTGGGCTTGTACTTATCAAACATTTATACATTTTAAAAGATAGGCAAGGACCACAGCACAGGAGAAAGTGCAAAAGCCTGAGACCTTATTTCTAGTTCTCTTTCTTCTCCTGACTCACTGTGAGGCCTTGGCACATATGAGCATCTCTGCATTGACTTCTCAGAATTGGAATCAAATAATCCAAGAACAAGGAAAATTAAAGGCATAAAGAGGGTCTGGGCTTACCCAAAAGCATGGCTGGTTCATACTTTATTTGATGAGAATTAGGGAATACTAAATATCCCTGAATAATCAGAGGTAGGTTGTAGTAAGAAAAACTCATGACTATTAATTTTGTTAGATGAAGTAAATGGACAAAACCATTAAAAATGAACACCTTTACAAAAGTTGTAAAGGTTCTCTGTTGGGTCAAAAACCCAAATTCAACTTGGATGGTTATTTACTAGAGTCTCACATAAAACAAAATGCCAAAAAGAAAAAAAATAAAACCTTACATGAAGCAAATACAAATAAAAAATAAAGTCAGGGTTCATGATATTGACATCAGATGAAGTAGAATTCAAGACCCAAAAGTACTTTGGGACAAAGTTGGTTGTTATATACTGTAAAAAGGTGTAGGAGACCACAGAGATATACCTTACTGTGCATCTTCACATATCAAATAATGCTGCATCAGAGAAGGAAGCAGTTTAATGAACAGTTAAGGGCATGGGCTGGGGAGCAAGGCAACTTGAGTTCAGCTTCCAGCACGGCCACTTGTTATCTCATCACCATATTTCTTCACCTATAAAATGGGAATATCAGTAGTTCCCACCTCAGAGGGTTGTCCTAGAATGACATACTCGGTGCTTAGCTAAAACTGCTGCTGCACTAAAATCTATACATCAAACACTGTAGCAAAGAAAATGGACAGAAATGTAATAGTCAAGGGGGTCTTTAACTTAAATTAGTTTTTGCAAGATTATAAAGGTGTAAAAAAGTAAAAAAAAGAATAGAGCAATTGTTTTGATCAGAATTACCTATGACACTTCCAAAAGAAAATGTGATACAAGGGCCCATCCTAAACCTATTGAGTTTGGACACAGGGCCAGAAGCAAAGTCAGGTTTATTTTTATACACTTCACAAGTTTCTCCACTACACACTCCTGCTGAGAAGCCACTAATAGGAAGCATTATAATATCAATAATGAGGTTGATTTAGCCAAAACTTATTGATCCTTCCAAATAGAGACTATATGTTATTTTCTAGTATCCATGGGATTTTTCATATTTTAGTCAACTAAAAAATTAAAATAAGTTTAAAAGATTATTAAAGTTAATTAAAATCAAATCTCTATATACCTAATTCTCTGATTATAATACAACAGAATCTGAAGCAAAGGACAAAGGTTAAGCAAAGATGTTTGTCACTTGGAAATGAAACAAACATCCTTTTAGATAATTACGTGGTCAGTGAGGATATCAATACTGCAACTCTGTAATATTTAGTAATTCATCATAATGAAAATGCTATAATCAGAACCTATGGGATATATCCAAATCTCCACTTAAAGGAAGTTTGGGTTTTTTTCCTAGACGATTCTTGCCAGAAGCTTCTCAGCTTTGTTTGGATTGATAGTTTAAGTTCAATGTTTTTAATTTCCCAAGTTGTCCATTTCTGCTTTTATCCTCATTAATTCCCTTCTCCTTTTCTCAGGCTTATTTTCTAGGTTCTTTTTGAAGTTACATTTATTTTTTATTCTTTCATGTTTAATATAAGTCAAGAAAAAAAAGACAAAGGGGAATATATCTACTATATATAACTAAATAGATTGATAAATCAGAAAGATATCCACAGATAATACAGACATATATATATGTCATACATATACATATATATATGTATATGTCATACATATACATATATGTCACATATATATGTCATATCCACATACATATATGTCATATACAACTGTATGTGATATATTTGAAAGTTTTCTCATACCATTTGACTGACTTTTTGAAATAATAAAATGAGATCCCTATCAAAGTAATAAATAATTTAAATATTTTGAAGTAAAATACAAAACTTGAAAGCATTAAAAGTGGCACATTTGTATATAATTTTGGGGTGGATACGTATTTTTTAAATGGACCACAAATACAAGCTATAAAAGAAAATTTTCCTTTATTTATCTACATAAACATTAAAAGCTTTCTGCATCAAAACTCATCTCAAATAATGTAAGGCAAACATCAAACTGGGAATATGTGTGTTCCATGTGAACAACAGATGATTTATAAAAAAGATATAACTCAATACCTGACACATTTTCATAATCTGTTACTTAAAATGAAATTTTAATTATGTAAATTTTTAATATGTAAATTTTTTAAAATTTGCAAATCTTCAAATTTTTCATATATTTTAAAACTAAGCATACTTTTAGAATCAGCAGTTACCATTTTTTGAGAAATTTTCCCAAGGAAATAATTAAGGATATGGCAAATATTTAGCTGGATGAAATTTTACTGTATAAATTCTCTGTAACAAAAAGCTGTTTCTCAACAAATATTTGTTAATGAAACGGTGATTAGTAATAGCAATTTGCTAAATAGGATAATTCATTATTAAAATATCTCTTAGATATAAGAATGAGGTAGATGAATTTTTATTGAGAAATAAAACATGTTCTGTTGTTGAATAAGAATGTTAAAAAACAATATGTACATTACAGTCACCTTTTTTCAAGAAAGACAGTAAAAATGGTTAACTACTGGCAATGGAATTATGGATTTGTCATTTTTAATTTTGCTTCTTTTTAATACCTAATTTATCTATAATAAACATATGGTACTTTGGTAATTACAAAAAAAATCCCACATAAGATATTTTAAATTTAAAAACCTTCTCTATCTATCAAAACTCACCTGGTGGACATGGGGAAGAAGTATACAAGAGGGCTGGCATTATAAATAAGTAGGAAAGAGCAGGAAAGGAGGTATGTTTTAGGATTTAGTAGCTATTAATTACTGTTTGAGGAACATCTAAGAACAGGTAAAATACTTCAGTTTTATTAGGATATTTGTTAATTCAACCCATCTTGGGTGAACCCTCCATCACCCCACTCATAGTCACTATAATGCCTTTACTTAATTTCAATAGCCTCCCAGTTGGTTTCCCAATGGTTTCTTGCTGTTTACTACTTGTAAGACTTGCTGTCTTCCTGCACTATAGACTCTTAAAACCAGGAACAAAGGCTTCAACTCTCATTCAGATCAATACCAATATCTTAATAAAGACTTCCTAGGCCTTAGATAATCTATGCCCTTATGATCTCTCTGGCCTCATCACCAACCACTCCGGCCCACGCTTACTCTGCGCCAGCCACACCCCTTGCTGTTCTTCAGACACCCAAAGGCAAAGTGCCTTTGCTTTTGCTTCTTCCTGTGCCTGAAACACTCTTACTCCAATATCTACATGGCTTACTCAGTAACTCCTGTACTGAGTTTGCTCAAATGTCACCTTTTCATTGGACCTTTCCACAGCCATCATATATACAACGGTGCATCAACGTTCCCCTCCACACTGCCCTGCTTTCTTGTTTTTCACATAGCACTTGTTTCCAATGAAATACTTAAGATATGTTTACCTGTTATTGCTTATTCTCTATCTTCTGGCTACCAGAAATAAACATCATGAGGTCATAAACTTTTTGTTCACTGTGGAATCCCCAACCTTTTGAACAGTGCCAGGACCATGAGAGATGCTCATAAGCACTTTTTGTTGTTATACAAATGAGTATTGAGATTATACTCAGATTTGACTACTAACAGCTTATACTTGAGGTTTATATTTAAGGCCTATATACTTCAGGGAAAGAATTCCTCTGCCAGGTTAAGGGGTTCTGTAAATTTACACAGGAAAGACAAAAGGTGAGAAATTGTAATCAGTCTTCTTGTGCATCAGAGGTCCTTTTCTAAAGCATCAGGGTAATATACTCCATTTATGAATTTGTGAAAATCTTCCTGTTTCCTGAGTGCCAGGCACTGTGCTTACTGGAAACAGAATGATGTATATGATTTGCTACCCTCAAGGGATTTACTCAACAGAGGTAAGCCTTTAAGTCTTCCATGAAGTTTCTCATTCCCCTGTCCCTGACATCAACCAACCACATGACTGTATTCAAGACAGGCATGTACTTCACACCAGGTGTGGACATAATTACATGGCCCAACAAGGGGGTTAGGAGTCTACCAAACAAATGCCAGCAATGCTCTTGTACTGTTGGCCTTGGCTTCTCTTTCTGGAAGCACGGGCCACCATATTCTCATTCTGAATTCAAAATGCAGAAGAGCCATTGCTCTTGAAAGTTGGCATTAAATGTTCAAATCATTCCCCTCCTCATCCTTACACCTCATGAAAGCAAGAAGGGAATGAATTAGGGTTTTGCAGTGTGAAGTTTAGTAATGTGGAGACCTGGACCCAGCAAGTCACAGAGTCCCTTACATTCACTCTTTGGTGTAGTTCAGCTTTCGTTTCCTCATCATCCCACAGGTCTTCAGGAAGAGAGTTGAAATCAGCCTGCCATTGAGATACGAAATCTTGCTTGTGATCTGGACGCCTTAGAAACTGCTGGAAACTTGTTCTGTAAGGCATTAAGATAATGAGATGGGGCCTACATGTCACACCTAAAAAATTCTCACTTTGGAAACTTAACTCACCTAATCTCATATAAGTAAGAAAGCACAGAATGCTGGTCCTCTCTCAGATGCCTGAGTACTGTTTTGACAGACTTTACATAGGAATTTTCTATCAGTTCCCAGTAAGGTACTAAAAATGAAGGTATTTCCTGTTAAATGGTAAAGTACAAAAAACATAATTTCAAAGTGAAAATTCTTCTGAATATTGAGTAAAAAGAGCAATACTAAGCAAGAAGATCCAGATGAAACTGTAACTTTCACTTGTGAATGGATTAGACAGAAATTTGTAGCTTTTACAACTAAATGGAAACATCCTGTCTCCTAAAAATGTAACTCATGATAAAATTGTGTTCAAATTAGTCTATTTACATCCACAGTAATGTTTACTGAGCAGCCATTATGTGGAAATGCTGTACTAGATTCTAGAAACGCAAAAACAAGCAGATTTCGTCCTGAATCCCAGCCTACCTTTCCTACTAATTATCTTCAATGGATTCAGTACTTTTGTCCTTCACTCCCCACCCCCTGCCAAATAATATCATTTTAATTGTGTTGCCTTCCCACCCCTTCTATGTCCTGATTTTATGACAATTTTTTAATATATTTATCTTACAAAGCGGCTTCTGTTTGGCTGAGTGGTATCAATTGCACTAATCCCTAATTTTATGATTTAATGTTCTCATCTTTAAATATTTTCTGTTTTAATTTCCCAATCCATGCTAATTAATGAATTGGAACCCATTGTATTGCATTCTGTACAGAAGACAGTGAATTATTCTAAATGTTCCTGATCTCCCCAGTGTTTATAATCTAGCTGGGGAGATAGGACTTTTCCCTAGGAAAGCTCAGTAACAACACAACCACTGCAATTCACTACTGGGCCTCAAATGCTTGGCATGGATGGTCAGTGCTGAGGGCTCATAGGGGTAAGAAATCAGGGAGCACTGCAATGAAGAAGGTAAAGGTTGAGTCTTTTAAACAGCTCTTTGTCTTTTAAAATTTTTAAAAGAAAGACCATTCTGTGTGATTTCCAGAGATGATATATGTAGTAAAACAATCAGATTTGCCTAGGTGGCAACTGGGCTTTGCAATTGTCAGAGAACAAAGAACAGAATGGAGTATCCAGGGCTCACCTGGGGCATCTCCTCACCTTTACTGGCATGCTCATTGGAAGTTCATAGGCCAGATAGCTAGCTACCTGTTTTTTTTTATTAGTTTTAGTTAGCATCAAAAATTTTCTTCTATTTCTAAAAAGTCAGAGGTTAAACTTCATTTTAAAGTGTTATGATGTAGGCATGATAACATGGAAGGAGGGCTATAATTTGCTGGATGTGTGTTCTGGGGAAGTCATCCTTCCAGGAAAACTGCATTTCTGCTTATCCTTGCCAAGAAAATTGGTCCTCACAGAACCCATTTGTTCTGCAGCTTTCAGCACTCAGCAGCAGTACAAAACACGACTCAGAAACTTGAGGGAGTAGAGAAAGGATGAGACGCCGTTCAATGAGTAGTCTCAAAAAATCATTTTGGCTTTTTGATGAGTATATATATTACCAGCAATGGAAGGCCTTTGGGCAGTGAAAATAATGGTGTGAATCTTACTATAAACAGGAGAATGAACAGATTCTTCTAGCTTGACTCAAAACTGCTGTACCTCGGGAATTGGTTCATCTACGTAGACCCATTCTTCCGATCCAGGTTTAGGTTGTGGTGGTACTAGAGGAGCAGATGACATATCTATAGAGTCAGCAGGGGGTTTCTTTGCTGGTGGTTTCCCTCCTGGAGATTTTTCTTTAGGAGAACCTTAAACATGCATATTAAATCATTCCATTACAAGTAGATGAATGGGACCAGATTCTGGTGGACAAATAAATCTATGATTGCCATGGACTTCAGGCAATTCATTAACTACTTTTTTAAGCAGCTTTGGGGAGATTTAGTAAATCAAAAATCAAATACCTTTAAGTGACTAATAATACAAATAACATTTTCTTTAAAGCAATCCAACATCTCTTGTCCAATTGGCTATGAAAAGCAACTTGGTATTTTATTTTCATTTCTTTCCTTGCTTCCACAATGAACATATGGTTCTTACAAAGTCTGGAGCAAAGTGTATTTCATTTACTATTGCAAAAACTGGCTAATCAAACTCCCCACCCTGCATGAGAAAGAGGGTAACTATACCTGAGTAGTGTTCTTGGTGTTCTTTGGAGCCCAGGGGAGGAGCAGGAAGGAAGGAGGTTATTGTAAGAGCTAGCTGGAGTCAGTGCCTGAGACAGCGAGGAACGCACAGGAGGAAAAGGGGTACTGTGCTTTTAACTATTCCCACATTCCCTGAATGAGACACAGGAGTTCTGAGTAGGAAACTATTTCCCAATACAGTCAGGGAGTAGGAAAGAAGCCTGGCTGAATCATGGCATAAGAGAAGGGGAGAACATGAGAGAGGAAGGGGAGAGTAGGGAAAAGAAGGGGAGGAAGTAGGAAGGAGGAAGAGAATGAGCAGGAGGAAGAGGAGGAGAGGGAGACAAAGAGGCCTAATTTCCAGTTCAGAATCCAGAAGAGACATATGTCTCATTTTCCCTGAAGCTTCTAGAGGGGAATTTAGATCAGTTAAATGGCACCCTCCTGGTCTGAAAGACCTAGTAACTAATCAAAGTTCCTTAACTCAGAAAGCATCAATATTCCCTCAAGGTTATTACAGTTTAGAAATTCATTCAGTTTAACTTCCACTTACCTTTTATTACCTTCCACAGATTAATTTTTGAGATTTTAGATGCAGTTTATAGATGCTATTAGGATAGGGAGCACTTTCTTTCCCCAAAATGTATTTCTTTAATGATTATTATTCAATGATAATGCTGTCTAGGAAAGTAAATACATTTTCCACTTTCATGCCAGTTAAAATATATGGATTATAAGTATGGGGAAAATCATCAATTATGTATTGTGACTCTATTTATACATATAAAAACCTTATTTATAATCCACAGTTCTGAAGTTGTTTCTATATATTTTTAATTTAGAAGAATTTAAGAAAATCTTTGCTCAGGCAATAACCAAAAATGTTCACAATTTGATATATATATTTCTATATGATGAATTTTCATTCTTTAGCCTGACTCTTTGAAGAAGTAAAAGTGATAATAATATGTATGGGTACTTTAAGATGAATTTCTTTAAGAATTCCTAAGATGAAGAACTTTGTAATTATAAATGTGAGACTGGAATGAGTTTCTTCTATTTTAAGAAAAGAAAATCTTTTCTAAAAAATCATGTTCAGTGAAAATTGAGAGAGCCAGGGAATATTTTTGGACCATTGTGCTTTGATTTCATTTAATCTTCATCTAAATCTTAACAGTGAAAATGCTAAAGGGCAAAAGATTTGAATAAATAAAAAAAATGTATCTATGTCAGTGAATGAAAATAGATGTCACTTTTGAACAAAATCTATCAACCTCTTAAATGTTAACAGGGGCATTCCTTTTTAAGTACCATCTAGCCAACCATAAGAAAGCTTCAGTTTCTAATAAGATATTCTGCTTTCATTTGAAAGTTGGATCACTGAGTCCTCAATGTAGCCATTCTTTATGCATGAAAGGATTGGAGAGTAATCTATCCTTAGCACATGGTAAAGAAGATTTTATCAATTCTTTTTCATTTGTAAGATCTTAATGGTATGACACAAAAGCCCATGGAGTAAGAACAAGTAAAAATAAAAATAAAATAAGGTAAGAAGGAAAATGTAATTTCAGGTCATAGGATTTATTTAGTCATGTTATCTGTAAATAAATGATCAAAGCTGAAATGATAGGGCAAGAGTTTTGAGTAAAGAAAATAACATAGTAGGAGCTCAGTATAGGTAAGAGTAAACTTCATCAATTGATGTGAGGACATTAAGAAGACTAGAACCCTCAAATTAAATTGGCACTACTCAGGGAAATGAGATTGACGGAGAAAAAGATACGAAAAATCTGACTTTTTTTTTTAAAAAAGAAAGGCATTATTGTTACCTATCAGTCCTCCAATATTTCCTAGTAGGATCTGATTTAATTAGCAGCTTCACTAGGTAAAAGCAAGAAGCTTTCTCTCCTCAGAGTCCTAAAATTCCTGTTGTTACTCTGTGTGGAGCTGAAGATACAGAAAGTAAACGACTACAAAGTAATGAGGGCTAGTTATCTGGGATCTCTTTTAATTTTAGTGTAATTATACTTATAATTGGTGATAAGTTTTGGGAACTTCCTATGTCAACTTTGCAATGCGTTCCCCTTTCTGCCTATAGTCTTTAATAACTTGGTCTAGAGTCAATAGTAATAATAACTCATGTTTATTTAGCACCACTGACTCTGAGCCAGACCCTGTTCTATCTACTTTTTTGTACATATACTTATTCTTTATAGTAGCAATGGGAGAGGTTACTTTTATGACCCCATTTTACATGTGAGGGAACCGAGGCATACTAAGGTAAACTTACTTGCCCTAGGTTGTTCATATGGCAAAAACAGACTGGGTCGAGTCTATGCTTTTGACTCTCACACTTTATTGCCTCTGAGTATCTATTGATATTCATATCATATTACTTATATTTAGAAACTTGCAAACTTTGGAACAGTTCTTATAATACTATTTACTTGGCCTATAAATTGATTTTAAGATCACTTTCTGTTTACAATACATACCAACTTAATTTTTCTACTTCTGGCATAAATTTAAAAAACTGCAAGAAGAGTAATAGATTAATTAAAAGACTCATACTTAGGAGTATAAGTAGTACTATTTAATTCACTTAAAATATGGTGACAGAAATAAGGCAAAACCCAGGAAAGCCATGAGCGCCTTAGCGTTATGTGTTAATATGGGAGTGTAGATTACACTCACCTACGAGTGAGGAGGCTCTAACTTTCCCTTCTTGTAGGTTAACAATTCCTAACAAAATACTATCTTACTTATTTTGATTATCAATTTTTTCATCTTTGAAGTGGGAAATGATCACTCCTACTTCATACATGGTTATGATGAGTTAGCGAAATTATATATAAATTATTGTGTAGTGCCTGGCACATGGCAGGCACTCTATACAAGGTAGTTTACTATTATGATTATGAATTATAAAAGGAGATTGTTGCTAAATTTTGATGATAATAAATTATCACTTTCAGATGTGTGGCATAAATCTTCAGATGAAACTTAATGTGTTTTGCATTTGATGTAAAATTTATAAAGACCTTGTGCATGGTACCACATACTAGTCTTTGTTTAGGTCACAGGTGATAAAAATCTACTTTTGAAATTAATCTTAGAAAAGTTCAGGGCTTTTTACTTCTATTTTAACAGCACTGTTATATACATGCTTTTCCTAAATTATAACCAACTTAAATATTTTGAGTAATAGGGCATATTATAAATAACACATTAGAAATAACCAAATGTTTCTGATATTTTAATGGCAAAAATAGGGCAATAGCAATAGGCTCCAGTATAGCAGTTCTTCAACTCTAATGATCATCAGAATTCCCTAGAGGGCTTATTGAAACACAAACTGCTGAGGCCCAGAGGAGTTTCAGATTCAGTAGGTCTGGGGTGGAGTCAAGCATTTGTATGCCTAATAAGTTCCCAGGTGGTGCAGATGCAGCTGGTATGGGTACTACAATTAAAGAGCCACTGCTCTAGTAGATGCATCTAGGTATTTCAATTGATTTCACTTTTATCTTTTCTTTCTTCCATTCTTCCATGTCCTTCCAATTAATGTCATTGATGTTTATAACATCGATGTTACATATATTGCTAAGTGACCTGGTAGTGTTAAGCAGACAGACAGACATACGGGGGTTCAAACAGAGAAAAGCCCACCAAAAGGGACTCAAAGGGTTAATCAGATAAAACCAGAAAGCCATAAATGACTCACAGAGTTAATTAGATGAAGCCATAAAGGCCAGGAGTGACTTGAAATGTCCCAACATTCCCAGATAAGAAACTTCAGAGTGCAGGCACTCCCCAGATAAAGAAAAACATCAGAGCACAGCCCACGTCTCCATTTCATCAGTCAGAGCAGGCTTCCAGAGCTAAGAATTGTCAATCAAGCACTTCTCTGCACCACTAAAACCCCATAAAAGAAACCTCACAGTAAGCAGTCAGGGCCTGTCTGACACTAGGCCGGGGCCCACTCTGTTAAAGAGTGTAATAAAACTTGTTTGCTTTCTTGACTTTGGTTTCATGTCTCACTTTATCTGACTTCCTGGCATCATCAAACTGAACTTCTTCCTAACAGTAGCACCTACAACTATAAATCAGATCAGAAGGCAAGCCCTGGCACAGTACCAATGCTAATACATGGGCAGGCCAGAGGAATTAAGGTGATATTATTTCCAAATGTTTGCTCCATAGAACTCTAGTCTTAATGAATACTCTTCTGAAAGAAAATAATTTTGTAGCCAAAAATACTATGGGATATTACGTACTACAACTTCCACTCCCTTAGAGAAGAACATTGACATATAAAAAAAAACTCTGTGATTAAAAACATTTTAATTTGGCTTAACTCAGCATTTTCTGAAATTTAGTTACTTAGGGAAAACTTCCTTCATTTAACCCCTCTTTAATACTTCCTAGGTAAGGTCACAAGATTGAAAAGCTATTTATTGTTTTATGAATTAATGAAATGGAACAATGGCAAATGGTTTGAAGATAATAATAAAACCTTTAAGAAAACCATAAATACAATTGCAAATGGCATTTCAGTGTCAAGTTTAGGCAGAAAAATGGGAGGGACTGATCTAATATACAAAGAATAGAAATGAGTCAAAGATGCCAATAGCAGGAAATAAAGGTAAGCTTGAAGAAAGAAGAAAGGAGATGTTCCTCAAACCAATGTAATTGGTATTAAATAGCCAGTGAGAGAAACAGATAATTGAGAGTGTTTACCTTAATGGTATTAATTTCAAATATTAAGAATTAAAATCATCTAACTTCCTTAATGAAGGAAATTCTGTTATACATGCTAAAACAACAGCATTTCTATGTAGCAGAGGAATTCTAAATCCTGACTGAGAGTTAACCTATTTCAAATATTAAACAAAGCAGAATTCAGTAAAATAAAAGCAAAAACACGTTTGAAGGTCCTTGGACTCATTTAAATGGAGCTAACTGCATGATTCAGTGTGTATTTTTACTGGATGAAATTGTATTTGCTTATGTTTTGTATGGAGTCTGTATAATTTTAACTAAGGATGGTCTTAGAACATGCACATTTTCATGTCTAACTTGACCATTTGGTACTTGCTATTTATAGGTCTATTTAATTCCTATTTTTGATGATTCTATGATGATCCTTTATGTGCTTTTGTTGATCACAATGAGAAAGCAAGGGATGAGTAATGTAAATATGAAAATTGTTTTGCTATTGGTAAGCAGGTAAGAGATATACACTTTGTAACAACGCCATTTGAAGGCACCCTAGAAAAAGTCAGCTATATGTATCCATAATTGCATTTCACTCTTTGACTGCTATGGAAGCTTCAGCATAAAGCTAACTACTACACTTTTAGAGCCTGGGATTTTCTTCTACCAGTCATCAATTATTGAAAAACTTATATCCCCCTTATTTCACAGAAATAGGTATAATAAAATAGTAATTAACTTACAAGTGAAATTAGGGTCAAGAAGAAATACAACTTAAACTGGAAGGTCAAAACCAGGGGAGAAATTAGAAACCAGATATTGAGATGTAGGTCCTTGCACAGACACTAAATCTGAGCCACTAATTTGGTTCTGAACTTCTACATATCTGAAATAGAAAGGGAAATGCTATCATTTAGAGTGCTAATTAACCACTCAAAGGAAAAAAAAGTTTCCTGTCCCTTAATTCTGAATGAAATTTCTCACCTAGGATTTCATATAGGGACCATTGAATGATGTAGTGGGCTTACTATATCTTCAGAAAATGAAGTATCAGGTTATTATTGGTTTAATGAAAGTTTCACCTCCACTGCTATGTTATGTTGTGGAAGAAGCTGAGAACTTTATACCTAAAAAGTGTTTGTCAGTGAAAGCAATTCTATGGGGAGCCCAAGAAAATATGGTTCAGTATGTAGTTTTCTGATGGCACATCTTAGTTCAAGGATAACATCTATAATACCTAAATGGATATTCTGATATTAGATATTCTCTAAATTGTTCCCACAAGCATCACTTTTCTCAGCAGGATCCTTGTTAAGAGCTGGACTGCAGAAAAAATGAAGTTATATTCTTTGGCAAGGGCTAATGGTTCACAAATGGTTGAGAGAAGCATTCAGTGTATACTACTGAACAAATCTAGCTATTTTCACTGAGACAGTTAGGAAATGCAGAATCACATATAATCATGTCTATCTTTATCTGCTGTACCTTTTCTTTTGAGTGAAGTTTCACCTTTCTTCCCTTTTCCTTCCTGAAGAGATTCTTGCTTACCATGTGGGGGTTCTAAACAAAATTCAACACATAAATATCATTGATAACTTTCTTCAACAGCCTGGGCTACAGGATTTGTAAGTAACCAAATGTTATTTGTCACAGATAAACAGTTATATTCATGAACTGCTTAAAATGGCTCAGGCCTTTCCTGTGAGCTAAAATGAATTGGAAGACAGACTATAGACTCAAACTTCTTAAATGACAGTTCTTGATAGTATTACTCTATTTTGTCTCTATTGAGAAATTTAGTCATAAGTTTAATATGAACATTTGATCGTGGAATTGATCATAAACTCTTCAATGCAACATAGCAGTGGAGTTTTCAATGTCACAAATCCATTTGAAGCATATGGCTCTATTTGGATATATTTTAACTCAATGATCCTTGTACAATAAGACAACTGAATATATAATAAAAATGATGCCCAAACACCTTGAAGAAGAGTTAAATAAGCACATTGTTTTGATATGATGCATCCTTGAACTTGTCTTGACCTCATACTTGGTTGCCTTGTGACTTGTACATTTCCATTTTGTTCTAACTGTAACTGGTAATGAAAAGGATAGTTTGGACATATTTCTCTTGGATTCCCTGGAATCTAGTTCAAAAATATACTGGAAGGGGTAAAATGGGAAACAGATGATGGCAAGGTCAGTAAGATGTTCTACACAATAAATTAGTTCCTTAAAAACTTCCTGCATTACTCTCCAAACAAGTTCAATCATTTTCCACTCTTTGTTCTGGGCTACAGGTTTTTTTCTTCTCCTCTCTTCATTGGAAGGATGGACAGAAGGGTAATATAAATGCCTGTGATGGAGAAAGCCCATCTGAAGTATTCTTTGTATGAAAAGTGATATTTATAAGTATGTGTAGAGGCATAGCCCTTACATTTAAACATCTCAGACCCAACCACTAAGATTCCATAAAAAATAAGACTAGTGAAAGACAAAGAAGGATTAACCTTGAAGCTTTGTTAACCTCTATAAAAGGTTTGCAAATGTCCAGATAGTTGACTACCAAACTCAAAGTAAATTAGATCCAAGTGAAAATAAGTGAATATAAGTGAAACCATTTGGTGTTTGTCTTTCTCTGCCTCTGGAGATCAACCGTTTTATACATTTTTAAAGATCAGGCACTAACTAGCCTTACCATTGATGGAACAAAGAGACATTTGAGTTAGTTGCTTTTTTAGAAGTAAGCTTATCATAATAATAAAAACTCTGGATAAGCTCTGAGTTTCTTTAATAATAACAATAATATTCTGGATAGCTAACTATTTAAAAAGCTCGCACTTCAGCACAAGGCAACAGAGAAGGTAAAAACAGAGATACCTGAGACACTGAATTTATAAAGCATGACGGGGAATTATGATTTCTGTTGGGGGCAGTGTGTACTCTGCCCATCTTTTTTTTTTTTAAATCAATTCTAAAATACTGAAATCTCAAAATAATATTCTTAAATAGCAGCATGGATAGTACTATTGCATTTTGTCACACTGAGAACTTCAGTTCTAAATTAAATTCTGACATTTGGTAGTGGATTTGATAATAAACCCTTTAATAGAACATAATTGAGGTTTTTCATGTTTAATCCCAAATGCATTTGAAACAGATACAAAATGCAGAAATATATACAATATATAATTAAAGTTGGACAAAATGACTGTTAGTACTCAGTGTACTGTGACTCCATTCTATACTCCATTTATACCCTGATTTTTTTTTTTAAGTACATAATTCCTTGTTTTCTGCATCTCAACTGGGTGTTTGAATTGGGCATGTTCAGAAGCCTCAGCCATTTAGGTCTGAAAATGTTCTCTTTTGAAAAAATTCATAAATTATTTATATAAAAATAAACAAACCTGCTGGAAACTTCCCTCCTTAAAAATTGCTTAACTAAGCTTCACGGAGCCGTAAGGGCGGCACGGCCACTCTATTGCCTCATCCCTGCGCAGGAGCACTGAGATCTCCTCCCAGTAATGCACTATTATTAGAAGGCAGTAATTAGGCCTCTGGAGATTAATCCTTTTATACATTTTTAAAGATCAGGCACTAGCCCTACCCTTGGTGGAAAAAAGAGACAGATACAACCACTCTTTGAAGCAACAATAACTTTATTCTTTCTCCAATGCACAGTATTCAAGAATACAATTTTAAATTCACAAGCAAGCTTCAGAAACTTAAAGACTGAACTGTGTTAAAACTGTGTCAAAACACTAAAGACTGGTTTCAGGTAATGGCTCCAAAACATACTCTTGACTGTGACAGGCCAAGAGGAAGGAAGGAGAGGGAGAAGCTATGGTCAGAGGTTAAAAGCCTTTACTGGCTAATTCCAGGCTCCCTGAGGCCCTGTGAGAACTGCCTTCCTCAGTTCTAAACAGCATTTTAAATGCTTCCACTATTCCTGCAGAGCTCTCAATTTCTTTTGTTTTCTTCCATTCCTAATAAGGTAGTGGGAAAGGGGTATATATTTAATCCATGGCTTTGTGCTTTAATATATGTTACTAAGGTCTTCAAATTTATGTTTAATATAAATTAATTTAATTTAAAAAATTCAGACCCATCTCAAATTCTGAAGCAGAAAGATTATGGAGTTTAGAAATGCAATCATAATGCAGTTTCAAGAATACCGAGTAGACTGTGTAACTGCACAGTCAGTCCTGAATAAAGTTCAAATCGGAAATTAGAGCCAAGTTTGTGCATGTACACAGCACCAAACTGATGCTGACATTCTACCCATATCATGCATTTCAACAATTGAGCAACTTTAGTCATTATATTCATTGTCTATCTCTATTCACATTCTGTCATTAACCATGAATAGTCCTTAGGTGCTAAGGATCCAGAAAGAAGTTAAACTAAAAAATATTCTCTACACAAACTCTTTTCCAATATTACATATTATAAATATGTTTATTGAGGTGTGAAGTGCTTGTTTCTAGCCCATTATAATTACATAGCACTAAAGATTAAGAATCTCATATAAATTCCAGTCTCTAATGAATGCTGTTAATTTGTGTCCTTATTCTTGTGGATAATTGGCTATTTTAATTCTCATTTTCTGAAGATGCTATCACTCTTTACATAAATGTGACTACAGTTCAGCAAACAGACGTGTGTCCTCTGGATCTGCTTGTGTGCCTTTCCTCTTCTCACCTGTAGTTTTATTCTTATCAGTAAATTTGGGTGTGAGGACTCCCCACTCCCTCTCATACAGAAAAGTACCTGGGCTTTGGCATGACCACACTCTTAGTTACTCAGGGCTTTTTCCACTGCCATCTGAGTGTATAGTTTGGTTTCGTATGATTGAAGTTGCTCAAAGTCTGAATCTGGATAAATGTACTGGTACTATAATTTATAATTCTTTTCTAAGTGAACATAAGAAACTGGCAAACAGGATTATAAATTATTCTGTCAATCACCTGATGGTGGTTTTCCTTTTGCAGCGGGAGTTTCTGAACGCTCACCCTGAGGATGGATTTCCTTCTCTTTTTCTGGTTCAGGAGGAGGAGGGGGAGGAAGAGCAGGAGCTG